ATCTAGTGCCTAGCAAATCAATCCATATAAACAGGCTGAAATTAACACAATAATCTTCATGATAAGTTTTACTTTTTTACTTGTTTACTGCCTATCTCCCTGCACATGAAAACAAGCTCCTTGTGGACTAAGACCCAGTCTGTCTTGCCCACCTGTGTACCCCGAGAGCCTAGCACAGCGCCTGCCACATATGGATAAAGGGCTGAAAGTCAGAGAGGAAGAAAAACCAACTTCCTACAACAGAGCTGAAGGGAAATAAGACTACAGTACTATATTTCCTGCCTTAACCTTTTCCATAAAATCACAAAATCCGAGAGCCTGGAGGAACCCTGCAGTTCATCTTTCGACATTTTGGGTTCCAAGTATAATGTCAACCACCAACATCCACTGATTAATCTCATTAGCCATCAAGGGGGAAAAGGGTCACGATATAAAAAATGTAATGTAGTGAGGTATGTGCTTGCTTAACTTTTTTTTGTATGTACATTTAATGTATTACCTTTGGGTAATAATTTTAATCTGCATAGTACTTTACAATATAAAATTCCACATCTCTACTGAAGCATTAAAACTGTGCTCACATGAGGTAACACATGGGAGACATTTAGAACAGGGTCTGGCACATGGCATGCAAAAGCGTCCACCTTATTCTCATCATTAGCCAATCGCAATGTGTATAACCATGAAGGAAGGCAGGCCTCCCTTTTCTACTCAAAGGCTTTCCAACAGTCTCATCCATTCTTTCTCTAAGAACAATTCATGGCTTACAAAGAAATAGCTACTACCAAAGGACCTTCTCCTCATCTAACCCCTAATTTCCATTACAGTAAGAAAAGGAAGGGAGGTCCTTTCCTTTTCACCTCATTGTCACTATGCAAACTTTCTACCAAAGAAAGAGAGAGAGAAAGACAGAGGCAGCAGGCAGGCCTGCAAAAAAAGATCATTGCCACAGAAAAACCTAGTAGGTCTAAGTGTGTAGCCAGAGCATTGGGTGATTTTGCTGCAGGAACCCCACTTTACAAATCACTGCAAAAAAAGAGGGGGTAGGCCTAAACAAGGATTAAGGGGTTTCATTGTTAAGGAAATCTCAAATCAACCTGATAGTGGGAGTAGAGCATCTAGAAAGATCGGCCAACTTCAATACCAGTCTGGATTAGATTCTCTGAATTTGAAATTAATAGATAGCTTGAACTACAAGTTTTTTTTTTTTTTTTGTTTTGATTTGTTTTTAACAGAATTGTTGGGATCCCTGGGTGGCGCAGTGGTTTAGCGCCTGCCTTTGGCCCAGGGCGCGGTCCTGGAGACCCGGGATCGAATCCCACATCGGGCTCCCGGTGCATGGAGCCTGCTTCTCCCTCTGCCTATGTCTCTGCCTCTCTCTCTCTCTCTCTCTCTCTCTCTCTCTCTCTCTCTGTGTATGACTATCATAAATAAATAAAAAAAAATTTAAAAAAAAACAGAATTGTTAAATGAGCGTTGTTATAAAAGTGTGACAAAAATTTATAATTCCCAACATACATATATAAGGTTGATAAATTCCAAATTTTATTTAGAATAAAGAACTTGAAAAATTTAAAGTAAGGTCTTTAACTGCTGAAATACTGTCTTCTCAGGTCCCTTGATCCTTGATTTATGGCTAACAGGCCTATTAAAGGTAACCTGGAAAGTATTTAAGAATCAAGAAACTATGTCCAAACAGGTATGAAATGCATGGACATTCAGCTTTAGCCTCAACACTCAGCTAAAATCAGCTTCATCTTGGTCCTCAGCCTTTGAAGGCAAAGGAGCCGAAGTCTAATTCAGGGCCATTTCTGGCATCAGTGTCCCCATCCATGATCAATAACCTCATGACTGAGTATCTTGTGATCATAACTAAATTACGTCACTAATAGTATGTCATTTGAATTCAGTGCAAACATCTGCAGATTCACCTAAAATATAGATAAGCATTCTTGATGTGATGTGGATAAAAATCTCTGTGTTTTACATGTTGACATTTTAAGAGCCAGGGAAAGGTAAGTGACAATTCACTACTGCAATAATAAAATAGAAGAATATGGGCAGCCCGGGTGGCTCAGAGGTTTAGTGCTGCCTTCGGCCCCAAGCCTGATCCTAGAAACCCGGGATCAAGTCCCACGTCGGGCTCCCTACATGGAGCCTGCTTCTCCCTCTGCCTGTGTCTCTGCCTCTCTCTCTCTCTCTCTCTCTCTCTCTGTCTCTCATGAATAAATAAATTTTTAAAAAATCTTTAAAAAAAATATTATGATATATGAGGATTTTGGAAGCTGTTCATTCTATATCCAAAAATAATAATAAAGAAAAACTTCCAAGTAACCAAGTACGTGGAAAAATAAGTTGGAATTCATAAAAGTATCAAAAGAAAGTACATTGGCCAGCTGTTTCAAAAACCTAAATAATAAGACCAAAACTAGGGATTATGTGATAATTCTCATATTTGTATAACTTTTTAATATATATCTATGAATAACAATAAAAATAAGAACTGTTTCATTTTTAAGTAATTACACTTAGGCCTGAGACTTTCAAGAAAAATCCATTTGGGTATTTTCATATCCTGTGAGGAAAGAGTAAAAGCAGAATTTCAACTTCTGCTTTGAAAGAATGTTGACTTTGACATTTACCTATTTGGCAAAAGCATCTATTCGGTTCATCTCGAATTCAGATCAAGCATTTACTCCTGGTTTTCACCTCTGCTCATTCTTCCCAACTCGCATTTGCAAAACTAAATATGGGGTTTGCTTCTTCCAGTCTAAGCCTAAGAGATACTTATAGGTCATGTTGTCAAGGAAGCCCCTGAAGCACTGGTCCACCTTTCTTTACCTGCTCTTCGGGTGAGGGGGTGGAGGGAGATTTACATCCAGATGAAAGTCATCCTGGTGTCTCTGGGTGCTTTCTGTGAATCTTTCCTAAACAAGCCTGCTCTTGCCCAAACCTGCATTTTTCAAAATATTTGTTACGGGGAGGGGTGGGGATACCTGGCAGGGATAGAGCTGAAAAGAACAGGAGCTTGGGAGCCCAGAAGCCATGGATTTGAAGCCTAACTCACTGACTCAGCAGGAGATTTAACCCTGCAGACCTTCTGTTTTTTTCATCTCTCACATGAGGATTACCATTCTCCAGGGAGTTGTGCTGGTGATGTGACTAACGTGGGTAAAATTCCAAGTTCTGGCCTTAGCCCAAAGTATCTACTCAATAAACAGGGGCTCTGACCCTGAGAGTTTTACCACTTCCTTCGTGGTTCCAGATTTTACAGATCCTGTGAAAGGGCTGTAACAGAGGTCTCTCATTAGCTCCAAGGTCTGGAACTTCCAGTCATCCCTCCTCCTAGGCCTTCGCTTTCAACATCCAACATCTCCAGGCCGTCCTGTACATACAGCACAACGTGCCTACCCGGCTCATTCGCCTCCACATTTCTGGAAAGGGGGTGGATCTAGTCAGAGAAAATCCTAAGGCAGAGAAAATCAAAATCAAAGATCCCAAGCTGGGCAGCCCGGGTGGCTCAACGGTTTAGCACCGCCTTCAGCCCAGGGCCTGATCCTGGAGACCCAGGACCTTGGGCTACCTGCATGGGGCCTGCTTGTGTCTCTGCTGTGTCTCTGCCTCTCTCTCTCTCTCTCTCTCTCTCTCTCTCCCATAAGTAAGTATGTAAGTAAATAAATAAGTATCTTAAAAAAAAAAAAGATCCTAAGTTTATCTAGGTGGCACCACCCAGGAGCCACAGAACACGTCAGGCTCCCTACATGGAGCCTGCTTCTCCCTCTGTCTCTCTCTCTCTCTCTCATAGATAATAAATAAATAAATAAATAAATAAATAAATAAATAAATAAATAAATAAATAAATTTAAAATCCTAAAAATAAGGATTTTTTTAAGCTGCCTTAAGCTGGGCAGCCCGGTGGCTCAGCGTTTTAGCGCTGCCTTCAGTCCAGGGCCTGATGGAGACCCAGGGCGTTGGGATCCCTGCATGGGGCCTGCTTCTGTCTCTGCTGTCTCTGCCTCTCTCTCTCATAAGTAAGTAAGTAAGTAAGTAAGTAAATAAACAAATAAATAAATAAAAATCTTAAAAAAAAAAAAAAAAAGATCCTAAACTTATCTAGGTGGCACTCCCCAGCCCCCAGGAGCCACAGAAAACGGATCAAGTCCCACGTCGGTCTCCCTGCATGGAGCCTGCTTTTCCGTCTGCCTGTGTCTCTGTCTCTCTCGTCTCTCTCTCTCATTAATTAATTAATTAATTAATTAATATCGTAAAAATAAAAAAGATCCTAAGCTGGGCAGCCCGGGTGGCTCAGCGGTTTGGCGCTGCCTTTGATCCTGGAGACCCGGGATCGAGTCCCACGTCGGGTTCCCTGCATGGGGCCTGCTTCTGTCTCTGCCGTGTCTCTGCCTCTCTCTCTAAGTAAGTAAGTAAGTAAGTAAGTAAGTAAGTAAGTAAATAACTAAATAATCTTAAAGAAAAGGCCCTGAGCTTATGCAGGTGGCACCGCCCAGGAGCCACGGAACGCTGGAGGGAGGGCAAGAGCCTAGGCCGGTGTGGGGCCGCGCTGCGGGCGCCGCCTCGCAGTCCCCGCGGGGAGGGCAGCGCGAGGCGCCCCGGGCCACGGCTCCTCATCCTAAGCGAAGCCGCGACGGGCCGGGAGGCGGCGGGGCTGCGTGCGCGCCGCGGAGACACCCGCCCACGCGCGGCTCCGCCGCCGCGCCGCCGCCGCTCGCTCCCCGAAGCGAGGAAGAGGGAGGCTGCGTCCGGGCTCACTTCCTGCGGGCGTGAGGAGGGGCGCCCCGCCGCCGCGCGCGCCCCGCCGGCACCTACGTGGCGCAGCCGCTCGGGAGGCCGCCCCGCCGGCCGGGGCCTTCCTTCCCGCGGGGCGGCCGCGGAGCCCGGGGCCGGCGCACGGGCGAGCCCGGAGTCGCGGCGGGGGCAGGGCGGGCGCAGGGCGGGCGCAGGGCGGGCGCAGGGCGGGCGGGCTGCCGCCGGTCACCCACCTTTCTCACTCTGCGGGCCGTGTAGAGTCCCATCCCGTCCTGGACGCGGGAGGACTTCAGGGAGAACCTGTCCGGCACGTACATGCCCAGCATTCTCGCCGCCGCCCCCGCCGCCTCGCTCAGCACCAGCGATCGGCGCCCGGGAGGCGGCACATCGACATTTGGGGGTGCTGGGTGCAGGGGAGAGGCCGGCGGGGAAGGAGGAAATGGAGGTGGCCTCCCAGAATCCCCACCTCCCCGCCGATTCCAGGATCCCCCGCGGCTCAGCCCCTCCTCGTCCCGGGTCTGGCTCAGCCCGGAGCGGCCGCGGCCGCCGCTGCCATTGCTGCCGCGGGGGCGCGGGGGGCGCGGGCCGGGGCGCCGCGGCCTGGGCGACGCCGCGCGCTGATTGGCCCGAAGTTGGCGGCCGGGACGGGAGCGCGGCGGAGCTCGGGGCCGCCGGCCCCGGAGCGGCCCGGGCTGCGCCCCGCGGCCCCGCTCCGCAGAGCTGGGGGTGCTGCCGGGCGGGGAGTCCTACCCTTCGGAGGTGCAAAACGAAATGGGCCTTGCGGGGGGCGTCCTCCAATTGCACGGAGTTCCAGACTCCGAAGGGAAAGCGGCTCGCTGCCCGGCGACTGGAAGCCAACCCTGAGGACTAGGAACTCTGGGGCCTTCTCACGTCTAAGTTAGGCACTTTTTTTTTTTTTTTTTTTTTTTTTTTTTAATGCTTGTTTCAGAGATTTGAATTCATAGGGAATCGGTGAGTATGGGGATTAACGTCCAGAGTAGGGGGTGTGCACAGTCTGCAACTAATAATCCATATTTCAAGTTAATTCAGAATTTAAATCTCAGGGCAGCCCTGGTGGCTCAGCGGTTGAGCGTCCGCCTTCAGCCCAGGGCGTGATCCTGGAGACCCAGGGTCGAGTCCCGCATCGGGCTCCTTGCAGGGAGCCTGCTTCTCCCTGTGCCTCTGCCTGTGCCTCTGCCTCTCTCTGTGTGTTTCTCATGAATAAATAAATAAAATCTTCAATAAAAAGAGATTTAAAGGTCGATTTAAGTCCATTGGAAGCTAGTTCTTGTATGGTGCTGTAACCCAAGGGAAGTTCTTACACTTCCCAAGATAACACCGTTCCTGGGTCTTATCTTGCTTGGAAATCACCAGGCCTGTCACAGATCTCCAGCCCATAAGCAGGAGAGATGGGAGGGAAACCCTCAAACAATAAAATCCAGTATCACAGCAAGGAAACAACAGACGTCTTGTTTCAGTGTTTTTTAATAAAGTTGGGTACATCTCAGAAGAAATTTTATAAGACTCTTCTCCTGTAAGACACACTAGGAGCTTTCTACTCATTTCTCTGGATATTCTTGATAGTTTTCTACTCTGAGGTCTTTTGGAATTCATGTTATGTTCCTATAAACATTTGATGTTGCTTTTAACCATTAAAAATAATAATTCTGACAACATTAAAGACCACACTTTAAAAAATCAGCTAAATAGATTTTAAAGATTTTATTGGCTGCATTCAACAATCTGTGAATGGGGCAGCATGCAGTCTGGCAAACAGAAAAGAGCTTTGAGGAGCTGTACTAAATGAAAGACTTTTACAGACAGAAAAAAGCAGAAACAAGGAAATTATACTAAACAAAATGCAGATTGGCTGTCACAAGGTTACTCTCTTTTAGGTGATGGCAGATATCCATCTGGCCGATTACCTATCTAGTGCTCATCAGGCAACTCCCGATTGGTTTAAAGTTACATTTCTACAAGAGGCAAAAGTAATTAAGTTGAGTCTCAGTTTGGTAACATGGGGCTTAGCATAAGTGACTCCATTTTGAGCCTGTTGTTTTGTTTCTAGCAACACACACACCATGGAAAGTGATTTCTATTTCTTGAGGACTAAGAAAAGCCTTGGAACACAAATAGTTCCTAATTTCTTAAGTAGAAGAATTTTTTTAAAATCCTATAATAACAATACTTGGAGATTTTAATGAATAGAATAAATGACCCTCTTTTTGAAACATGTAGAGGTAGCTTTGTCAGGGGTGAGAAGAACAGTGCCTTAATTATTCTCTGAGTTTTGATCCCTTTGACCCATCCCAGAAAGAACTCTCTCACTTTCTGTAGGGGGAAATGAGTCAATAAATAAATACAGTTTGGGGCACCTTGGTGGCTCAGTCAGTTAAGCTTCTGCTCTTGGTTCAGCTCAGGTCATGATCTCAGGGTTTTGAGGGCAAGTCTGGCATGGGGCTCTGCTCCCAGTGTGGAGTCTGCTTGTCCCTCTGTTTGTTCCTCTGCTCATATACATGCAAGTGCATGCTCTCTCTGTCTCTAAAATAAATAACTATTAAATAAATTAATATAATAAATAAATAAATAAATACAGTTCATTTGAATGGAATTTGGAATTAGATGACCTTGAAACACATCAAAGGTGTTGAGGAAATATTTCTTGATTAAAAGTCAATTCTGAGGCTAATCTGAGATGGTCAAACTTGTGCTCCAAAGAATCTGGGCCAAGTCTGTTTCCCTGGGGTCCTTTAAACCAGTGCTACACCCAGGCCAGACCAGGTCTCTGAGCCCAACTGGAACCAGATCACAATCCAGAGCATGGCTCATGGTATTTTCCCCAGAGCACTGTTCTTTGTCAGACACAGCCTTTCAGTTCTGGTCCTCAAGCCACAATGGCTTTTCAATCAAAAGTTTTGCCAGTCTCTTTGGGCACAGAAGTTTCCACAGCTTTCGATCATTAGAAAAAGGAATGCTTTCTGGTCTTGATCTGACACAACCCTCATTCACTGATGACCCTTGTTTGGCATATCTCCCTTTTTGTTGTGTGTTAAGCTTCTAGGGAGCAAAGTCGCCAGCTTGCAAATGCTCATCTTTCTGAATGTAGGAATCTTCATTAATAAATATATAGTAAAAATTAAATGCTTGTGTAGATAAGTCTGAAATTAATAAAATGAGAAACTTTCCAGATCTCTTATGAATGTCTGTCAGAGATTTTGTTAAACTGACACAAATAATAGATTTCATTAAAGACTATGACATTCTTTTTATCTGTGTGATAGAGTGTCCAGAAGATCTAGTGCTTCAAACACGGAAACCAGTAATAAAAAGCTCTTAATAATAATCTCTATTACAACACATAAAAAAGGACGCATGTTTGCCAAAACAAAATGCATAATACTGACCGGAAATTTGATTTTGAAGCCTGTAAGACAGTAACTGTACCATGAGTCACTTCTTAGAACTTTAAAAGCTAGAAAAGTGACCTTTCAATATTATCTTTGAAAAATGGGAAATTAAAAGTCTGCTTTATATCAAGAGTTTAAATCCAGTCTTGAAAAAATAAGTAAGAAAATCAAAATACTGACATCAAAGTACTACATGCACCTGATTTACTTATTCTAGAAAAATTTGCACTATTTTGACATAAGAGAATGACTCTAAAAAACATCTCTCCTTATTTTCGAATGTACTTCGGGAGGCAAAATTTGTTCACTGATATGCCTAAAGCCAGCTCTACTTATCGAATTCAAAGTTCTATGCTGCTGTAGGCCTTGTTTTCTCATTACAAGGAAAGATTTGAATTATTATTCTGTATTAATCAATTATTTTACCACACATATTGCAGAATTTTTTTGATTGTGTCTTGGTTATTGATGACTATTTCCAAATGCCATGGTAGACTAAAAGCCTGATAGGAAAAAACCAAAAACCAAAACAAACAAACAAAAAACACTGAGGGTTATTTGTCTTTAGTTTCCTGAGAGTCAGAAGGATTTTGTAGCGAATGAATACAAAACCAAGTTTCCTGAGAAGAAAAGAATAAAGATTTATTTGGTGTGACTCAAAAAAAAAAAAAAAGAAAGAAAGAAAGAAAAGAAAAGAAAAGAATCCTGAAAAATCCATTGTGGGGCTGTCAGATTCTTGCTCTAAAATCATTTCTCCTAAAAAATAAAAATAAAAAAATAAAGTAAAATAATTTATCCTTAGCATTGATTCTACAATAGCAATAGCACCATAAAAAGATGACCTTGAAACCTGAGTCTGCATATTTAATTTTCATTAATCTCTTGGTTTTAAGTGATGATACCAAAGACTTGTATGCAGTAACAGAACATAATCATAAAATCCTTTAATTAGAAAAAACCTTGGGGCACCTGGCTGGCTCAGTGGGTAAAGCACACAACTCTTGATCTCAGGGTTGAGAGTTTGAACTCCACATGGGTGTAGAGATTACAAACAACCAACCACCAACAACCAAAAACATGAAAAAACCTAGAAGCTGTTGGGACCAGAGTGAGTAATATTGTAAAAAGAAAAGCCAGGGAATCCCTGGATGGCTCAGCGGTTTAGTGCCTGCCTTTGGCCCAGGGCGTGATCTTGGAGTCCCGGGATCAAGTCCCACATCGGGCTCCCTGCATGGAGCCTGCTTCTCCCTCTGCCTGTGTCTCTGCCTCTCTCTCTCTGTTTCTTTCATGAATAAATAAGTAAATAAAATCTTAAAAAAAAAAGAAACTTATTTAAAAAAAAAAGAAAAGAAAAGCCAAAAGATAAATCCATGGGTCATGGCCCCCAAAATCAATGCTGTTCACTGAGCAGCATATGGAAGGAAACGGGAAGCTGAAGGAAAGAGGAAGAAATGGAGAAGGATGATAGTTTCCGTGCATTGAGGCTACTATATACCAGAAACTGGACTACTTTCTTGGTATCCATTATCTTAAAGCCCCAACAGCCCTATCATACCAATTTGGTAAAGTAGATTTTATTAGTGCCATTTTACACACAAGGAAACTAAATTCCAGAGAAGTGATCAATCATAGTCACTTTCACACATCCATGAAGTGGTGGAGGTAATTCAAACCCAGGACTGGCTGATTCCTATGTCCTTGATTCTGTCTCCTGCTGATGCAGTCCGGTTCACTTTCCAGTTACACTTCCCATGAGACCTTAGGAGAGGAGGAACTCTCCACTTCTCTCTCTCTCTCTCTCTCTTTCTCTCTCTCTCTGTTTTTCTCCCTCCCTCATCTCCCTTTCCAATGCCCTATCCAACTCCTCCTCTAGAACTGGGCAGAAAATTTGATTAGCCAAAGTCCATAATACTTACTCTGTTGTCAGATGCTCCAGTTGGATTCAATCATGTCAAAGAGAAGATCAAGTCCTGTGATTCTCCAAGGACTTTCCTCTACAAAGAGTGACCGACTGTATAATAAGACTCTGCTTTTACAGAAAGTTTCCCTGAATCTGGAAAGTCTTTTGAAGTGTGGCCTATTTATAACCACAGCCTAGCTCATCCACACATTTCTAATCCACAGAAGTGATAATATTAAGAAGAACCA